CTTCTTTGTAATAAAGTGCAGGAAAACAATATTGAGGGGCTATTTAATGTGAGGGGGTGTGTACCACACAGAGTTGCAGGTCCCTCTGCCCCTGAGCATCTTGGAGCTGGAGAGGTGAGTGGAAAAAGATGTGGTGATGTCTTGCAGTGAGGTTTTTACTCCCATGTGAGTGGAAGACCCGCTTTTCAGGGAATTGGCACAAATGACAGAAAGGGAGAGGTGGATAGAAGGCAATTTCATTAGTAAATAAATCAGCCACTCTCTCCTTTGCCCAGAGAGTGACAGATACACATTGGGGCGTTGAGCCCTACAGCAGAATGCTTGCATTACCAAAACCCCTCTTCTCTCTCCCTGCCCAAGACCCTCTCAGACTAATAATTGCCATGCAGATGTCCCTGTCATCACTTGCAGCTGGGCTCAGTGTTTCCTCGCCTTGTTTAAATGGTGGGGGCGGGGGGGGGGAGCCACAATGCCTCCCTGCTCTTGAAGAGCCATAAAGCGGTGGGGTTTCCTTCTCCTGCTTCTCCTGCAGTGGTTTTGGGACAGAGTCCTCTCATTTTCCTCCTTTGTGGTCAGTGGCTGATGCAAAACCCTGTTCCCACTTGGAGGTTTTGCCGTGTGGGGGCTGGGAGATATCCTCTCAAAAATGTTAATACCCGCTTGTTGGTGCAGAGATTTCTCAGGTCTGCAAAGCCCTGGCAGGTTCAGGAGTTCACTGGCAAACCTGGTAGGTGGCGAGGTGTCCCTTCAACATCATGTGAAACAGCTTCCCAGGCTGGGCACTGGGGCAGTGTTGTCCTGGAGCTGGAGGGAGGAAACTCACCCCCTGTGGCCTCCCAGACCTCCTGCTCCCCAGGGGTGACAGCACCAGGCCAGGCAGCAGAGACCTGGTGAGCAACATGGGCACCTGTGCGTGAGGGCCACCACGGTGCAGAAAGCATCCTCCTCCTGTGGGGAGGCAGATGCAGGCAGGGACCTCATTCCTCTGAGATGGGGCCAGGTGGGGAGAGATTTTCTTCCCCTTTGCTAAAAGCCTTTTTGTGGCACAATAGCCTGTGGGTCCTGGCAGAAGGTATTTTTTTCTGTCTTTGCAGAAATAGCAGGAAAAATGTGCAAGATTTGCTGTTTTCAGGTGACCAGCTTCTCTCTCCTCACCTTCTTCCTTCCACAGCTGCCAGCAGCAAAGATAATGCTGGTGGCCAGAGTGAGGGAGCCCAGGAAAAGCCACTTCTCTCTCTTTTTTAGGTTTATAGAATCATAGAATCATAGAACAAATGCCTGTCCCCAGTTACACAAGAGGTCATCGAGTAGGCAGCAGAGACCTGGTGAGCAACATGGGCACCTGTGCGTGAGGGCCACCACGGTGCAGAAAGCATCCTCCTCCTGTGGGGAGGCAGATGCAGGCAGGGACCTCATTCCTCTGAGATGGGGCCAGGTGGGGAGAGATTTTCTTCCCCTTTGCTAAAAGCCTTTTTGTGGCACAATAGCCTGTGGGTCCTGGCAGAAGGTATTTTTTTCTGTCTTTGCAGAAATAGCAGGAAAAATGTGCAAGATTTGCTGTTTTCAGGTGACCAGCTTCTCTCTCCTCACCTTCTTCCTTCCACAGCTGCCAGCAGCAAAGATAATGCTGGTGGCCAGAGTGAGGGAGCCCAGGAAAAGCCACTTCTCTCTCTTTTTTAGGTTTGTTTGGGTTTTTTTAACTCCTGCAAATGCCTGTCCCCAGTTACACAGTGAGGGTGAAGACTGCACCTTGTCTCCCTGCCCAACGTCAAGGCAAGTGCTGTGCTGGGAAGGCCACGTTTCCCCCAGTGCTGAGATCACCCTGGCCCTGCCTTGCTCTTCCCTGGGATAGCCGGGCGGGAGGGGAGGATGCTGCCTGGTGGGAAGGATGCCGCAGTGGCTCTCCAGCTCGTCTCCGCTCCATCAGGCTGATGCGCTGCGACAGTTCTGCTGAATTGCTGACCCGAGGGGCTGCGTGGGGGCTATTTATGGAGAGACAAAGCCAGGCGACACCAGGCAGGAGGCCAGCCTGAGATGTCTGCAGCCAAGAGCGGGTCATCTTTGGGGTTCCTTGGGTGGCTTGGATGGCAAACACAGTTTGATGAAGGTCACAGGAAAGCCCCCATGAGGATTTTGGTTTATATGAGAACAGCCCTTCGGCCCCAGTGGTTCAATCCTGTTTGCAGGAGCAGGCTGGGTTTAGTGGCAGGCATCTTCATGGAGGACAGTGGGCCGTCCTCTGATTTTAACTTATGTTTCCTCCGGCCCCACAGGTTAGGAGCAGCCCAGATGCTGATAGCAAACTCTATTTTTCGGCAGCAGTTGCGATCAAGCTTTCCTTTTTCAGCGAAATATCAAACTGTTATACCATACCTTTGAGTAGAGGGCAGCACCCTTTAGCTCTTCTTCTATCATCTGGGTTTATTTTTATCTTGCATCTCCAGCACAGCAGTCTGGGAGCTAGCAGAGGAGGACTGAAGACCTTTCATAATTCATAGCTCCTACGTTTTGCTCCCAGGGATCACAAAAGCGAGTTGCTGGAAGGGCAGTGCCAGAAACTTACTCCATGCGCCCCACAGGACTCTGCCTGGGCGATGTGGCTGCTGTGCTTATGCTCTGCTCTGCCCGATGGCCTGTCTGTGCCTGGGACTTTGTGCAGGCCTGTTGGGCTCCAGCCCAGGCAGAGGACCCCGGGTGGTCCCTGGGCAGCCGCGCTTGCAGCGAGGTGGCATTCAGGGTGGGGGAGCAGTCAGGATGCAGCAGCGTGTGCATGTCCACCCCAGCATGCTCGGGACCAACCCACTGTTGTACAAACATGTGCTGTAAACTTAATCCCAGGCTGTTGGCCCCTCAGTATTCAAATAGCTCCTGAAATAATCTGCAGGCTGAGCCTGAGGGGAATTTCCCAGACCTCCCAGAAGCAGGGGTTTTGTTGCCGTATCAGGTGTTTTTTTCTTTTGATTAAAAGCAGTATTAGAACCAGAACATGCTTTGCATTTGGTTATGGAGCAGAGTTGATCTTTGGGATGGCCCTCCATCTGGTGGAAGCGCATTTTGTCCCAAGGCCTCATGTGCCTACCAGTGAGGCTCTGCAGACCACAGCATCCTTCCTTGCTCCCACCTACCTGTGAGCCAATGCTTGGCAAACGCCCATGGAGGATGTGGAGGACTTTGGGATGGCAGGCAAGCCCTGACAGTGGAAGAGAGCGAGTCTGCAGGGGACAGCGTGCCTTTGCTACATGCTCGCCTCTCCTAGCAGAGAGATGCTGACAGATGGAGGACTCCACTTTGGAGGCCAAACCAGCACCCCTGCTCATGGCTGCCCTGTGAATATGGGTGCTACTGGGCTCAGCTTCGGGCCTTGTGGTCTTGGAAGGCTCAGAGATGCGTGTGGAGCATCAACCTTTCACAGTGGCTGGGAAGCTGCTCATCCATGAGCTTCTGCACACAGGCACTGAGGTCCTTCAGAATCTGCTCCACGTGGATGGAGGAGCTGCGTTTCAGCAGCCACTTTGGCAAAGCACAAAGCGAGCTGAGCGTTACAGAGCTTGGTTTTGTTTACGTGCTGGTGGCTGGTGCCTTATGCCTTCTGGCTTGCTGCTCTGTCTCGGCTCGTGGCTTTGCTCCTGTTGACAGCTTTATGGGGTGTTAAAGCACTTCCAGGGTTCACTCAATGGTCCTGTCTCATCTGAGCATGGCAGCTCCTTGGCACATGTAGCACAGGAGCTGGGAAAAGCAAATTCAAAAGAGCTTTTGCTCTCCCTGAGCAGGAGCAAGGGCAGGCTGCAGCGGTAGCTGCTGCTGGAGCCTCACACCTTTCCTTCCAAGTATCAGTGGGAGCAGCTGGTTTATCAGCAGCCAGATGCCTCCTCCTGTCCTCGTGGTGCTTGCAGGAAGCTTCCTGGTTTTGCTGCCTTCTCCGCTGTCTCTTGGACAGGCCTGCCATGCACAGGTTTGTTGTCATCTTACTCTTTAAATATCATCCACCCTAAGATATCCCTGGGATTTGTTCTCTCAGGGAGCACAGTACAAAATTTACGGGCACATCTTTTAGTTAAACTGAGTGACAGATTTCCTCATCCGTATTTATTGTACATCGATCACTATTAGGTTGCCCGCGATCTCTGATGTCTGCATTTACATCCATGTGTGCATTTTTCTGTGTTGTTTTTCTCCCACTGTGAGCTATGGCTTGCCTTAATTTGATTGAATAAACCCACTATGTTGCTGAACTGTAATGAGACATCATCGACCAGACTGTCCCGATTGTACCCTTCAAAATGGCATGTTCCTTACCCTGGAAGAGAGTGGGGTTTGCTGCAATGCCTTTCACCTAGGGCAGGCTTTCGCTGCTGCTGGTCGGCCGTCCTTTGCAGAGTAAAGGCATGCATGAGCTGATCCGTTCTGGTTCAGCATAGCAAAGAAATGCTGGGTGCAGTGACACCCCTAGCAAGAGTAGAGCTGCTGCCATCCGCCAGGAGCCAGTGGGGTGCGCGTATGGTGTGGCACCAGGGTCTGGCTCTTGCTGTTTGCAAGGAGTGGCGTGAGGCATTGGCCCTGTGTCCACATCCAGACTGGGGGAGGACCTCCGTGGTTGCTATTGCTAAATGAGAGGAAAGATTTCCAGCTGGTGAGCTCACTAAGCATGTCCTTTTGTGCTACTGGTTGCAGGTAATTGCTGATAAACATAGAACCTCCTAGTTATTCTGCTGATGCTGTCTGATCCCTGGCTTTAACTGCTCTTTACTTGTAGGTCGTAAAGGTCTGGGGAGGGGGAAGTTGAGGATATTGGTTGTTAAAGGTCTGGGAGAAAAAAAAGAGGGGGGGGGGAAGTTGTTGAGGGTATTGAGTGGATGAAAAATCAACTCTTCTGAGGGGTGAAGCATTCGGTTGGCAGTACATCACAGCTTGCCCTGGCAAGGTCCACATTTTGGACGTTCGTGGTGGTGACTTGCACGTGTTACTGCAGCACTGAAGTCCTTTTTCTTTGCTTCATGCAGTTGCTCTAAAGAATCGTGGTACCAAAGAAGCGGAGAGGGATGGAGACTGGAGCAAGGGACCAGCTCTGGGCTCGACAGCGGTACCGGAGGGCGAGCTGCTCCTACAGGTCAGTGCTTCTCTCTGGCTACTTCTCCCTGGAAGACACCTTCAAGGGATTTTCCTCTTGTCCCCTTTCCCGCTCCTTTGGATTTTGCCAAAGAGCAGGCTGTTCTGCTATTGATTGCAGGATGTTTTGGTGAAGCAGTGATTTCATGTGGTGTAGCTCATAATGCTTCTGACTGAGCAGAGTTTTAAGATCTCTTCAGGTCCCTGGAGCAGAAACTGCGTTGCTTCTCATCTCCTTTTCCCATCCTTCTGGGAGAAAACTGCCACCTGTAAATCATTTGGGTGTCAGAACTCCCTCCATCTCAGTGGTAGCAGTACTAAACTTCTGACCACAGAGATTCAGCTCTTCTGCTTTTCTGCCCTCATGTGTAAATGGGCCGTAGGTGTGACATGGGAGCCAAGCAGAACAAGATGTTTTGAGTGTGCTTTTCAACATGGGCACGCTGGTCCTGACTCAGGGGTGTTGTCCAAACACTGGTGAAAACAGGGAAGAAAATGTCATGGAAGTCTTCCCTGGTTTTCGGGCAGTGATGCATGACACCGAGTACGCAGATGAGTGTTGATGGGCCATATGCTCAGCCCATGTACACAGGGTACATGGATGTATCCTGGGAGCTCTGCGAGAGGCATGCAGTTGGCTCCTTTGGTGGTGCTAGAGGCAACGAGGTGATGCTGCAGCATGGCTGGGCTGAGCCTGCTGCTTCCATGGCTTATTCAGAGACGTCGGGAGATAACCTGTCTCCAAACCGTGCATGGTGAATAAGAAGAGGTCAGGCTCCAGCAGTGCGGGGTCCTGTGAGGAGGCAGGTCTCCCCTCCCTTCCCCACCTGGCACCTGAGCACGGGCTGCAGCACTGTCCCCTTCCTGGCTGTCATCCAGAGCAGAGTGAGCATGCTGGTCAGCCCCAGCTCCTTGCCAAAAGCTCACTCAGCTCTTAGCAGTAAATGTGATTTCTGTCCTGCTTGAGAGCTGGGGAGCTAGAGTCTCAGTGTCTAGTGAGAGAAATGCTAAAGCCAAGGTGATTAATAACCAAAAAAAGAGGGGTTTTCACTGTGGAGATAACAAAACTGTGCTCAGCACAGCTTGCTGGAGTTTGATGTCCTGCTCATCAACTTGATGCCATCCTTGTAGAGGTACCAAGATGGGTGCTAAAAGCTCTGGGTTTATGTTTGGTTTATGTTATCCAGGGGCCTGTCTGTGTGACGCTGGACACAGCAGGGGCTCAGAACCTGCCTCTGTGCTACGAGGAAATGCTGCTACATGTTTAAAAAACTATTTCCACCTCGTCTGTCATCTTTGACGTCCAAACTTCCATTGTCTTATCTCTTGATCCATCCTGATTCTTCCCTTCTGCTCCTCTAATTTTCCAGCCTTGCTTTTTTGGCCTGTCCTTTGTCCAACAAGACTCTTTCCAGCAACGATCTCAGTAGAGGAAGGTATCTTAAACTGGGGTTAAGCATGAAAATCCCTCTAAAGTTAGGGGCTAAGGCCTTAGCAAGGCTGAGAGCTAGGTGGACCACCTCTGCCCAGGTGCACAGCAATGCAGGTACATGTCTCTGGCTGCAGGGTATGGAGTCAGCCTGCTGGTTGGCCCAGTTAGGGAAGGACGGGGTGCTGCAAGATGTTGCTTGCTACTGCCGTGACAAAGCAATGCCTCCGAAGCTGCTCAAAGGGTTAAAGTGCATTTGGCAACACTAATTAACCTCTGCAGCAGATTCCCACACGCTGAGGTCAACCCCACTAAATAGAGAGAGCATTTGTGCCTGGAATAAAGGGAAGGAGACGGGGGAGAATTGAAGACCTGGACAATGAAACAGGAGTTGGCAGCAACAATAGCTGGGCTTGGCTGAGGCTACACGCTAGACCCTAATTAATCCTGATGTCTGTACATTACAAAGTGGGGGAAGCAGGCCAGCACTGGCTACTGTGGCTTCCCTGCTTGCAGCCACATTAGTGGTACAGGATGGTTTTGGCTCTAGACAGCCATGGGGCTTCTGGGGTCCATGCTGCAGGAGGACTCCTGCCTTCTAGAGGGCTCCTGCTTTGAGCTGACATAAGAGTCCCCACGGGGACCTGTTGCCCATAGGGAGGGGTGGCCTGTGGCGCTGTCGCGGCTGTGGTAGCTGTTCAGCTTCTGGGGAGCTAAACCAGTAATTTTTTTGGATTTTCATGGTCTTTGCTCTTAGGCAGCACCGTGGGCTCAAAGGTCTTTACTGGAAGTCTATCGGGATGATTTCAGAGATGGGGAAACTGAGTCACAGAGCAATGCCTACCACTTGGGGTCAAGGGAAGACTGCTGTGGGCCTGCTCCCAGCCTGGCAAAGTGATGACATGGTTTTCAAAGCACTGGGCTCTGTGCCACCCAGTCTTGCCAAAGGCTGATACAGTGGCTGCAGTGCTTAGGAGCCCTTTGGGGTGCTCCCCTGGATCCTAATAGTGCCTGTGTTAGCAACACCCTTCTGCATGTCAGCTCCTGCCTGGTGCCAGAGAGCAGGTATGGAAAGCAGGGCTCCTGGGACAGCAGCTGCACTCCCAAGCTGGTAGAGAAGCTCCTCTGCACCTTCTAACCTTCACAGATCTCCAGGCGGAAAGGACATTGTCAGTCAGCAGCCTGGTCCCTTCTCCCATGTCCTGTCTGACAAGCCCTGGCGCTGCTGGCTTGGAGAAAACACCCAAATTACTTCCCATATTTGTTAAGCTGATGAGCTCCTCATGAGGAAGAAAGAGGCTCCAGACAGCTCAGCCCATTCCTGCCTGGGAATGCAGTGCTCCCTTGGATGTTGACTTTGCAGTCCTGGAGCTCAAGGAGAAGATGGAAGAGCCAGTGAACTGTAAAATATGTAAGTTGTGTAGCATTAAAAATGCATTGGAAACTCTGGATTGATGGCTGCATTTGCTATTTTCGGTGGGGAGTGCTTCGAGCCTGCATAGGCAAAAGAGCTCGAGTATTTATTCTGTGAAAACAGAGCATGGCGTTCAGCCTGTTTGGGTGGAGGGTGTGCATGAACGAGCACATGCTCCAGGACTGGGTGTTTGCATCATGTAAATCTGTACGCCATGCAGAGAGAGCTCCAGAGCAAGAGGAGTGTGGCTGAGAGCATCTTGTAGCTAATGTGTGCATCCCAGGAGCAGGATGCTTGGTCCTTTTGCTGCCATGTGGTGCTTTGGATGGGCGGTGCTGTGCAGGTTGGATGAGTGCCTTGCAGCAGGTTGTTTCCAGGTGTGAATTGTTTATTTCTTAAAAGGAAAAAGGTACTCTGAGGTCAATCAGGGATTCTGTGGTTTTCCTCTAAGCCCAGGCACCGGAGTCAGCCTGTCCTCCCTCCTGCTTTGGAAGAAAATGGCTTTTCAGAATCGGATGTTTTCACTACAGTTTCAAAATCCAAACTTTTATGTTTTAGCATTCACCTTTTCCATTTTCACTGGTTAAGGCTCTTTCCAGCCTTGGGTTGGCCACCTTGACCACAGAGTGAGCGATGCAGGAGGAGGGAGCAGGCAGTGGAGACAACATCTTTTTAGGCCTTCCTTGTTCCTTGCCCATGGGCAGCCCAGCAGGCACACCACAGTCCTTCTCCAGGCCTCTCCTGGGGAGAGGAGAAGGGGAGGGATCACCTGGGGAGGACAGAAGGAATGCAAACAAGGCCAGGAGCTGGCCAGCTTTCTCCCAAACCAGGAGGAGTATCCCCATCCATATGGGCCAAGCAGCTGCAGGAAATGCCCAGCCAATGCTGGCAGCACACAGTGATCTGCAGTGGGTTTGCTCTCCACTGAACATCCCACAGCTTTTCCAGCCTCAAGCTGTCCTAAGCCACGTGTGGCTGCTCGACCCCCCCCAGGCTATGAGGAGGATGGGAATGACATGAGCAGAGCCACCCAGGTGGACGCGGGTCAACATTAAATGCAGCCGACATGAAACGCTGTTTTGATTCAAAGTTGTCAGAAAGGCTTGTTTCCGCCAGACTACCAGAATGGACCAGTTCCTGATGGTGTCCAGTTTCGTTCTGCAAGCTGTTCTGAGATTTTTATTTGCTCTTCGCATAGGATGAGTATAAATGTCCAAATCTGAGTCTGAGTGAACACTCCAGGGATGGAAGCAAAGTTTTCCATCAGTTTGGATTAGAGTACACTTGGGCAGCTGTACGGAAGAGCTGCGTGACCTCAGAGAAACCCAGCAGAACGTAATGTCAGTCGTCTTGGTGAGCACAGCTCTGCTGGCGTTGATCCCCATTTTTCTCTGTCCAGCCTTCAATGGAGTTTGCCCAGGCGAGGCAGAGTAGAGGATAATCTGAGAATGAGCTGCAGGCCTTGGTCTCTGCTAGGTAGAGCAGACTCATCAGGTCTGTGAAAACCTATGTTTTGGCTACGTGTGCTCTGGCACCATGGCAAGCTATATGCATAGAGGCAGCTGCAAGAATGGAGGTCTCTGGTGCTGTTCTCATCCTGCAGGAAGGATATGAAACAAAGAAGCTGCTTGAACAGTGCATTGGTGGATTTGGTGAGAGCCAGGGCAGTACCCAGTGTTATGACAGCGAGATGCCATTAGGAATAGCTTCCTTTTCTTCCAGGTTTTCCCATGCTTTGTCCCCTCTCCTACACCTCTCTCTTGGTGGGGCAGTGGCTATGCTAGTTGGGACCAGCCAGGACTTGGGTGACCAGTGCCTGAGCAGAATGAAATTCACTGTCCGGCTAGAAAAGGATGATGTGAGTGTGGCATGTACCTGCCAATCTCTTCTCCCTCCTAGGCCCTCAATGGCTTCGTGCTGGTGGTGACGTCAGAAGGACTGATATTTTACTCCTCGCATACAATTCAGGACTATCTGGGATTTCATCAGGTTGGTGGGACACCTCTGACTTGCTGCAGTGGGTTTGCAGAGTGGATTTTTCCTTGGTGGTGGAGAATGGCCGCAAGTTCCCTGTGAGGAGGAAGCTCTGCCAGGATCACAGAATCTCAGGGGACTGCGCGGGGCTTTTCCTAGGTCTTGTGAATTTGGGCCCTGGGTTGTCAGACATGGTCACGGGGAGGTGTCAAAGCAACTTCGCTAGCCCACAGATGCTTTCAACCAGCCGCATTGACAGGCTGAGGTTCATGGCCCTGTTGTGTAATGCCATGGTGAGATGTCTGGGGTTCTTTGCCCAGTGTGCCTTTGGGCACCCACACCTCTGGCTGACCCCTGACAAACCCCGTAAGGCTCCAGTGCTATGTGGTTAGCTGAGCACCCAGATAACCTGGAAGGCACTAGGTCAGATTTATGGGGAAGTGGGACTTACTTACGGTCCTTTAGTTACTGTGGTTTGGTGTTGATCCCACATAGCTGGCTTTCCCTAACATCTGGGGTAGATGAGAACTGCCCACCTGGGCAGAGGGGGCAAGTCCTGGAGCAGGTGCCTTGTTCTCTCAGTAACAGTGTAGGGCTGGAATGGCTTTGCTGCCGTTTTTTTCCCAAACCCATGTTTTCATCTCATCCTATACATCAACAATAGAATTTTGAAGGACACCGTGTTACGAGGATGAGCTTGTCAGAGGGCAGCTGTATTGCTGGTGCTAGTGGCTCTTCAGGATGGGGGGCAGGAGATTTGGCCCAACTTAGTCAAGGGGTCCTTAGAGCCAGGTGGGCTGCCTGTTCCCACCAACATCAGCCCTGGTGGAAGGTGTCAAGCCTCATTCAGCCAGGGACCTACTTGAGCACCAGGGAAATTGGGTAAGATATGGCCAATTGGGGCTGTGACAGGCTGTTTAGAGGTGAAAACTGGTGCCTGGGGGCAGGCCAGAGCTCACGCATTGCTTTATTCCTCTAGACAGATGTCATGCACCAGAGTGTCTTTGAGCTGATCCACACCGAGGACCAGCAGGATTTTTCCGAGGACCAGCAGAAATTCAGGCGCAACCTCCACTGGGCACTCAATGCACCCCACACTCCTGAGGGTGAGCCTTCTGCAGAAGGTAAACACAGGCTGGGAGCCAGGCATCCTGGTTGGCACAAGATGTGTAGCTCCCCATGTACACTGGGGAGTCCAGCTCCCTGCCATCACTTGCATGGGGCTTGCATCCTTGTGGCTCAAGCCATGGCTTCACCCAAATGTTGTGGCTTTCCCTGAGTTTCTTGTTGCTGTGCTCTGCAAACTGCTGCAGTCCTCAATGCTGGGGACCTCCAGCCCTTTCTCGAGACCTCCAGGCCTCGCTGGGCATCCTTGCTTGCTCCCTTCCCAGTCCTTCTCTCCTACAGGGGGGAAAAGTCTTGGCTCTTCTGCTGTCACCTGCAAGCCAGATCAGCTGCCCCCAGAAAACTCCTCCTTTCTGGAAAGGAGCTTCGTGTGCCGCTTTCGCTGCCTCCTGGATAACTCCTCCGGCTTCCTGGTGAGTACAGACCCACACTGCAACATGCGCAGCAGGAGGGGTGCAGGCTCACCCCGAGGGGTCCATGCCACTGCTGGAGCATAAAAGTTGGCCTTGAAAGACCCAGCACTCCTTTCTGCCATGTGCAGCACCCACCTGTCTCAACAAGGAGATATTTCTGCTGTTTTTCATAGGTTTGGTCTGTAATTACAGCCTCTCTGTGTGGGTTTTGTTCCTCTCTTCTCAGAGGTCCTGAATGTTGAACAAAAGTCCTTTTCCTCCACATAATTTGCCAGGCTTCTGTGTTAAAGGCGTCTCTTAAGACCAAGTAGGTGGTGTTCATCTCTCCTCCTCTCTGCTGCAAGTTAATGGGGTTCTTACATTCATAACCACAGGTGTAACAATGCTGTTTCTCTCTCTCTCATCCTCCTTCAGTTTGGAAATTCAATGTGAGGAAAAAGCCCTGGTTGCCCATGGTTTAGAAGCAACACTATGATCCCTGATGGGGCTGTGATATAGCTTTAGTTCAAATGCAAAGCAGCCCGTGCATTGCCTGATGCCCCAATGCAACTGCAGCGTGAGGCTGCCGTGCATCTGAGCCCCAGGCCAGCAGCGAGTGGCTGCAGGGGGAGAAGGCAGTGGGCTGCTGATGCGGGGAGCTCAGTGTAGCATCACTTTGATCCTCCATCTTATTTTAGTAGGGACCACTGGAATCGTAAGGGGACAACTCGCAGGGGATTATTTGCATCAGCTCTGCAGCAAGATGGCTTGCTTTCTGGGCAGCTCTCCTCCCTCTCTTCTCTCTCCACCCAGTTTTCTGTGTGACACTGTGCTTTTCTTCTCTTCACAGGCTTTAAACCTTCAAGGAAGGCTGAAATTCCTTCATGGGCAGAACAAAATGTCTGAAGATGGGTCTGCGCTGCCACCCCAGCTTGCTCTCTTCGCTATCTCCACGCCCTTGCAGCCCCCATCCATCCCGCAGATCCGAACCAAGAACATGATCTTCAGGACAAAGCACAAGCTGGACTTCACCCCCTTGGCATGCGATGCCAAGTAAGCAGCAGAGCTGATTTGAGGGGTGATGCTGTGGGCTTTCAGCATGCCAGTCCGTACCCTGCCTGGGTGACGTCCCATCCTGGCTCTACCTCCTGAGCTTGGTGCATTCTCGGTCTCCTGCAGGGGGAAGATGGTTTTGGGCTACACTGAGGCAGAGCTGCAGATGTGTGGCACTGGCTACCAGTTCATCCACGCTGCTGACATGCTCTACTGTGCGGAGAATCACGTCAAGAGTAAGAGTCCCTTCCTGGGTACCTCATGCCCACCACTGAGGCTGATGAGTGGGCTGGGCTACGGGCAGCTCCACTGGCTGCTATGTCAAGCCCG